CCCTAGGATTACTGATTTTAACCACATTTTAAAAGACAAAAAAGTATTTTCCAAAACTGATCTTTTGAAAGCCTATTTCCAAATTCCTATAGCCGAAGAGGACAAGCAGAAAACCGCTATAATTACGCCATTTGGCCTCTATGAATTTAATGTAATGACCTTTGGTTTGCGAAATGCACCAGCTACTTTTCAAAGATTCATACATGAAGTATTTCAAGGTTGGACTTTACTTTTCCATATCTCGATGACATATTAATTGCTTCATCCTCAGAAAGAACACAGACATCACTTGAAACTTGTTTTCGATAGATTAGATAAATACGGTTTGAGAATCAACATTTCCAAGTTGATCATGGGTGTTGATAACTTAGAATTTTTAGGATATCTTATAACACCGGAAGGATCTCGTCCTCTACCTGAAAAAGTCGAAGCAATATTGAAATATAAATTACCAGAGACTATCCATGATTTGCGAACTTCCTTAGGGATGCTTAATTTTTATCGACCGTTTCTGAAAGATGCTGCTAAGACACAAGCAATACTTCATGAATACCTAAAGGGTGCTAAGAAAAAAGATAGAAGAAGAATTAAATGGTCAGATGAAGCTATATTTAACTTTGAAAAATGTAAACAGGATTTGGCAAACGTAGCTCTTTTAAGTTATCCCAATTCAGATTTGCCCTTGTCACTATGCACGGATGCATCTGATTGGGCTATTGGTGCAGTTCTCCAACAGTTTGAAAATGGAGCATGGAAACCTTTAGCGTTTTATTCAAAAAAATTAAATAGCACTCAGACAAATTACAGTACTTATGACCGCGAGTTACTGGGAATATATCTTGCAATTAAACATTTTAAACATATGTTAGAAGGTCGCGATTTCAAAATTTTTACTGATCATAAACCACTAGTTTATGCTTTCAGACAAAAGAGCGAAAAGGCATCACCAAGACAAATGCGCCAGTTTCAATACATATCTCAATTTACTACTAACATATGCCATATTAGTGGAAGTGAAAACATTGTCGCAGATCAGTTATCAGGAATAGCCGATGTCTCTATTTCACTCATTGATTATGATAAAATTGCTGACAAACAAGTTAATGATAAAGAATTACAAGATTTACAAGCTCAAAATAAAACGTTAAATTTCGAAAGTTATTTACTTCCATCTGGTAAAAATCTGTGGTGTAATACGTCTTCTAACAGTAGACCATTTATACCCAAGCAGTTTAGAATGGATATATTTCAACAAATCCATGGCCTCGCTCATCCAGGAATCAAGTCGACCGTTAAAGAAATGACGTCCAAATTTATTTGGCCAAATATAAAAAAGGATATACAAACATGGAATCGTGCCTGTATTGGTTGTCAAAAAAATAAGGTTTCACGTCATACAAAGTCTGAATTAGGAACTTATCAGCAGCCTGATGAACGTTTTACTATAGTTCACATAGACTTAATAGGTCCTTATTCCCCATCTGATAATTTTGTGTATTGCTTGACTTGCATTGATCGCTATACTGGTTGGATGGAAACCATTCCTTTGCGCGACATAACAGCAGAAACCGTTGCCAGAGCGTTTTATGAAAACTGGATCTCTCGTTTTGGAGTGCCTTACCAAGTTATTACGGATCGTGGAGCACAGTTTACTTCTGAACTGTTTCGAACCTTGGCAATTATATGTGGAGTGAAAATTCAACACACAACTTCCTATTATCCACAGTGTAACGGAAAAATTGAGAGATTTCATCGAACTTTGAAAGCTGCTATTAAATGTCTTAATTCCATTAAGTGGTCCGAATCCATTCCAACAATTCTTCTAGGTCTTAGGGCAGCTTTAAAAGAAGACTCTGGATATTCCATTGCACAAATGGTTTACGGGAAAACAATAAAACTTCCTGGAGAATTTTTTGATAAACCGACAGTTTCTACAACACCTCAAACATTTTTGCATAAATTGCAAAAACAAATGGAATTGTTCAAGCCCTTATCGGTTAAGCGAAAAATTATTCCTAAAGTTTTTGTCCATAAAGATTTGAATGTGTGTACTCATGTTTTCCTAAGAACCGATAGAGTCAAGAAACCATTAGAACTTAGTTATGAAGGACCTTTCAAAGTACTTAAAAGAATGGAAAAATACTTCTTGTTACAAATCAAAGGTAAGGAAGTAAACATTTCGATTGACAGGCCTATTGTTTCTACAACCTATTGTTTAACATCAGGTGCCTATTGTTTAACATCAATTAGGTTGATCAATTAGATTGTTTAACATCAATAACATCAATTAGTTTAATAACAACATTGATGTAAACATCAATGATGTTTAACATCAATTAACATCAACCAGCCTATTGTTTAACACCAGGTGAGCAAAGGTTGGAACCAGAAACTTCTGATACCCAGCCCAAGACTCTGTTAAAATCTGAGAACAATGATGAACGACCTCGAGTCTCACGAACTGGGCGACTAATAAAACGTCCTTTACGTTTTAGTAACACTGTTGAATATTTTTCCTAACATCTGATATTGAATATGTTTAATTGTAATTGTATTTATTTATTGTATTTGGTATTTTTAATTCTAATGTTAGCTTACGCTACATTACTCCACTACCAGAATCTCTTAAATCGTAACACAGTTACTGGAGGGGGAGTAATGTAGTGGAACATAATTTAATATTTCTATATAATTATTAAGATTTCCTAAGTGGCAACATGATGTAATGTTTTGAATAGTTATTAAGATTCGCCGTGTGGCAACAACGAATCGAGCTAAAAACGTAGTTACTTCTAGCGTTCGTTGATAAGCGTTGCGTAAGCTTTATTTCTTAAAAGTTTGTTATATTTTTATGTAAAAATAAGTAACATGTTGCAAACAAGAATGGAAACTGAAAAAATAAATATGCTGTTTTTTTTAAGAGCAAAATAAGCATTTATTTCACTTATGAAATGCTCTGGCTGATAAGTTTCGATTTCGCTTATTCATCAAATCCACATTATCATTAAAATATTTAATTTTGGGTAATAGAAAGCAAAGTAATTATATTTTCGTGCCCAAAATACCTTAGCTGGTTAAAATGTTTAGTATTATTTTCGAAAAAATAAATTAATGCTTTTTAAGTCACAGTTAAATTTTAATGTGGAGAAATTACAACAATACCACGCATAGTCCAACTTCCATCAATCTGAATGCACTAGAATCTGGTCTGAGGGAGAAATTAAATTTTAACTCAGAAAAAATTCCAAGACATTATTCCACCAAATTATTTTTTCATGCATAAATGACCTGTTTCCTCCTTCTATCCTTTATGTAGTCTATTACACAATTATATTTCTTCGTCCAAATATGAATTAGTTGATCCAATTAATGCATCAAAGTGCCATTGGGACATTTTAGGCCTATTATTTGCGCTACACGTTTCCCCAAATTATAAAGGTTGTAACAAGAGAAAATGCGCCTACTTTAGGGAATTCAGAAATGTTGTTAATAATATAAGAGAAGCAAGGCATGAGTTAATTACAAGCAATACGATGGCAGTATGGAAAAATATCATACAACATTGGCAAATGATTTCATCCTTTTGAAACTCATTTTGTTGAAGTCAGTACAAAGACACCAACTTGACTTTTCAATAAGTCAGGCTCCGTCAACATATTGAGTGCGTCATTCAAACATTAAACGAACTGAAAAATGAAGCACTTATTAGTATCGCCACATAACAATGGGCTTCTGAAGAGCGGGAGGACAACGTAAGACAACGACGATTGTGTTGAAGTTGCTATCACGAGAAGTAGCAATTTTTGTACATTCGAATATAGCAATGATGTGCTGTTGTTGTGAGTTATCTCACTTGTCTGACAGCAGCACCAGAACAATTCTACGAAATTAATTGTGGCAAAGAGCGCAAGATTGCGCCTGTCGTTGGCAAGAGCCTTTAGCATCATACAGGTGACATTACGACTTCTCTCTTCCGACCCCAATTTTAATGGAAAGAATCCCGGGGGGGAGTAGGATGGTCTCCTACCCCTTTTCATCTACCATCAACCTCCGGAGAGGACTTTCGACTGTCCGCCTATTTACAGCGTCCCCATGCCTCACAGACTCTATGCATAGTTTCGGCTATAGTAGCAGACATTCTTAAATGAAACCGAAATTATATCATTATAGATGGAAAACGCGCAGTTTAACATCATTTAGGAGCAAATATATTTTTTTTTTAATCACAAGTTAAGTTCTTACTCTTATAAGGTATTTCTCCCGCCTTCTTAGCATGCCTTCGTAGTGTAGTAATCAGCACGATCGACGCGTATTCGAGAGGTCCGTGGTTCGAGTCCCGGCGAGGGCATTACTCATTTTTCACCTCTTCTGCTTCGAAATAATTTAATGTCTCTACACTCTTTTTTTGACATGGAAAATATTTCAGCCCACACATTCATTGTTAAATTATTTAAAATTTTGTTAAGCAAACACGTTTATGAGAGATTTTTTTATAGGTATCTGATTTCTATAACCGTTCTATAAATCAGGTATAATAAGGTATAATAAGCTGATTTCTGAAGTTTAATAAAAGTTTTTAAGAACTATCTTCTGGGGCTTGTCAACAGAATACAGACTTATCAGTAACTGGAATATCTATAAGCTCTGAATTTGCAGACAAAATAGACAACGTGTGAATGTGTGATTCTAATTTTGATTAGAACGCTGAAGCATGCACCTTTCTTTTTGTACTTAATATTCAAATTGCTTTGTGAGAATATTCTTATCGCCTTGCGAAAAGTATCCTCGTGATAAATGCAACTCTTCGCAAAGCAACGGGAATATTCTTCTTACAGATTTTGGTTTAATGTTATTTAGTATCCCGTTACATTTCCATAACTAACTGCCTTCTTTAGATTTAAATTTAAACTGGCTTCAAACTAGATTACATTTTGTGATAATTCATACTTGAAACACATAGTATTGCTTCATGTATTATTAAATTTAGATATCTTGCATACCTTATAAGCTAATTTTAGAGCTGCGTTGTGAGCTATAAGGTCTTCGAGTAGCCCCAAATCATTTTTCTGGAAAAAAGATATTTATTTAAATACATAATCTATGTATACGTATATATATATACATAAGAGTTTTATAGCAATAAGCAAAGGAGTAATCTAACACTATTCTTATATACGCCCTCGCTTGGCGACAAATTTCTTGCCAAATATTTGTGGCGAGAAACTCAACGGTGCCATATTAATATCTAAATATTTTGTCTACATTTCAAACTTTAAGCCTAAAATGTCTCCAAAAACGCAGTTTTCGCACATGCAAAAACCACGTTTTGAACACACAATTTAATCTGAAACAAAAATAAAAAAATTTAGATAGCAAAAACGTAAAATTTCTAACCAAAAATATATTGAGAAGAAAATCCCATGTATACAGACGATGTGTTTCAACTTAAGAAAAAACATCTACGAATTGCACAATCTAGGCAGCGAAGGAATCTATGGAACCACGCATACCTCACTTTAATAAATTAACATAACAGCAATAAATTTCAAAGAATACCATGTACACAACATTCTGTTTAAACTTGAAAAAACATCTACGAAATTGCACAATCTAGGCATTGTGCACAAATCCACAAAATAAACTTACAAATAAATTTCAAAACAAAAACAATAGCAACAAAAATTCATAGTAAAAAACAATGAACATAACATTCTACAAAATAAAAACAATAAAATAAAATGCACTTACCATAGTACATACGCGAATAAAATTTCGCCAGTCACACAACGCCTGTGAACAAAAGTGCCACGATTTTGCTATATCATATGTCTTTCTGTGATTCAAAATTTCGAAAGCAACAATAAAAACTTCCTCCAATGTTAACTTACTACACGAAAACCACGATCCAAATCTTAAACACAGTTGACAGCCACATACTTTACCAATAACCATTTGACTGCAAACCTTCACAAGACTATCAGAAACACCATTCTTCGTCCGAGTTCTCATATCAGCTCTACATTTTGGACACGCCCAACTCCGTTTTAAAAGTCCTGACTCCCCCAGAAATTCTAAATATGCACTTCTATCCACATAAACACACCCTGAACAAAAGACTCGTTAACAACTCCAACATCGTACCTTTTAATATAAATTTACTTTTCACACAATCTAAAATACCTGACTGAAATCTTGCCACCACGTCTCTCATTGCAACATTCAAAACACGCCCGACACGGACCAACGAGCAATTAAATCACTGCAGCAAAAGAGTTAAGTTTCAACGTCAAAAGGTTTGCCATGCAAACAGCATCCTCAACTAAACTATCCCACAGCACGGAATCGCGACAAAAACCAGCGCAGAACACATATCGCCACATTTGGTGATCTTAGGGCGTATATAAGAGTAGAGTTCAAATTTCATCCGGAAAATTTCCTTCAAGCAATGCAAAATACTAAAAGAAAAAAAAAAAAATGAAAATACTTTCAATATAAAATAGTTTCCTTGGTTTCAAATTTCGTTAATTTTATTACCAATAACTCCTTTTTTATATTGGGCTTCAATGAAAATCTCAACTTCATAAATATTCGTTTCATTTCTAGGTTATTATTTTAAATTAATTTTCATGTCAAGCTCTATTTTTTACAAATCTTAATGTCCACACAAAGTAAATAAAGAATACTATATGAAGCTAATATTATGGAAAGCTATTATCTAGGTTGATTTCTTGCCGCCCAGACGGTATAGTGGTTAGGAAGCCTGACTGCGATACCGAAGGAGCACGGGTTTGAATCCCGGAGAAAGCATGGTTGTAACTGTCCGTCCCTTCATAGGAGGTGATGGTGGTCCAGTCATTAGGTGCCTCCATAATAAAGAGACCACCACATCTGGCCTTGTATATCTTCTTTTAATGTATTTGCACCAATGCGTGGAAAGCGAATGATTTTATGTTTCGTTCATTGGTAATTGTAATGGAAACCATGATCCTTTCTAGCTACAATCTCTTCTTTTTTCGCCTCTAAAAATATAAATATTTTTGCAGCTCACACATGACTGATTTTAAAAGTTATTGTATTTCAATTTTGTTGCTGTCTACTTACATCTAGAAGAGTTAAAAGTGAAGCAAAATTAGAAATTTCATATTCTGTGCTAGAAATGGGTTATATCCGACTTTTAACTGTAGTTACATTGTTTCCGATTTTCGGTCGTTTTTAATAACGCAAGTAGGTATTTATAAAATATATATTGTTGATTCATATATTTATATATAATACTAATTCTTTGCATTATATTATGCAATATATACGTTATACTACATACATTTGGCCCTTCAAACTAATATTTTGATTAACGATTGAAAATGAATAAGGAAGATACAACGCTTTGCTGCTCCATGCTAGGGTAGGAATTATATTTGACTGGCTCGTTTGCTTATGGTATTTTCATTATTTTCCCCTTTAGAAACAACAATTTTTAAAGACTTATGTCTGCAGTGTGAAATGTAAGGGTGAATGTTTATTATGCAGAACCTTTTAACCTTGAGTTAGGCAGTAGCATTGGAACTTTCACACCAGCTGAATGTTCCCACCATTCACCAAAACATTTATTTATTCTACAAAGAGCTAAGGCATTTTTTAGCTCTCACTTTTATGATGTCGTTAGACCATCCAGGGAAATCCATAGCTAATCCTGACAAGAGCACAAATGACTTTTTCCGTTTGCCATTAAAAAAGTGAAATAACCACCAAATTGTAATTTTTAGTATTTCAATACTTTATAATCAATATAGCGATACGTTTCTTTAAATAACTAGTTAACATTAATTTGAATTAAAGCGTAAAGTGTTTTTTTTAAACTACTCTCATGTTTTTAAGAGGTGGCAAATATGGAAAGATGTTATTTATCTTTAGATTAATCATGCTAAAATTATTTTTAGAAGTTATGCTTAAGGAAATAAATATTAATATGCAGAGTCTAGAAGATATTTCTGTCCACTAGTGACTAAGTGGTTATCTCGATGAACACTGGTAGTTCAATACGGGTTCAGCTCCCAGTGCCGAGTTGGCTTCATGGGAGTTTCCGTAATTTTCCCATGTGTAACGTATATTCGAGCTAAACTTCCTTTAAAAAGTTATTCTACGAAGTCATTCTTCCCTTTAGGAGGATAACTATCGCTTGCTTTGCCATATTCCAAATAATCCGGTAATTCTGTCCATTTTTGTTTCAATTAATGGACACTGAAAATGGGTTTTAAAAATGAGATATTTATTATAAAAATAGCAATGAAAAAGGGGAAGAAAAGAGAGAAAATGAAAAAAAAAAAAAAAAAAAAAAAAAAAAAAAAAAAAAAAAGAGGCATCGAAATAAACGCAATGCATTTTTTAAATACAGTAGAACCACGGAACTTGAAAGTCTGTCATCAACAACAAACTGGTTCACGAACAAAAACCGCCTTGGATGATGAATGATGTTTCGAGTTATAAACATTCAGGTCAACCACAAATGATTTTCAAAGATTATCCCTCATGCTGAATTAACACTCAGAGACTTCTAAAAACACCATTTTAATGTTTTCTGTTGCTTACCTCTTATTAGAAAAGTCTGTTAGGAAGTGACTTTAAGGACCGTAAATTCGGCGTAGAAGAAATTAAGATTAGATTATGTTGCGGGCACGGACATTTTTGTAATCTATAATATTCTGCTTCTAAGCAAAATCATGAGTTCAGAAGTTAACAGTAAAAACGTGGAAGAGTTAACTAGGGAAGCATAAGATTGAGCTCAGCGAAAAAGACCAAAACAGCTTCAGAAGCAGCAACAAAGTGTGTTTGTTAAAGAAGTATTTTCAGAGGATAAAGAAGAAATAAAATATGAACCTTATTCTTTGATTTGCTACATTTGTGAGAAAGGGAGTATAAGGTCACCCTCCCATTTTCTCTCTCCTTTCCGCATGCCTTCATAGTGTAACGGTAGCACACTCGAAGCGTATTCGAAAGATCCAGGTTCGAGTCCCGGCGAGAGCATTGCTCATTTTTTATGTACTCCTGCTTCAAAAATAACCTAATGACTCTACAGTGGCGCTCGAACTAAACGGGGGATGATGAGGATTCTTCACCACCAGGATTTGGCGACTGGGTCCCCTAATCCGCAGTCGACTTTTAAAAGGGGAGACTACATAAGATTGTAAGGATTATGTTAATTTTTCTAACAGTTAAATTTTGAGTTAAAGTTCCTTTCCTATCGCTTCTTAATTTCAACTTACAACTTCCGGCCTGAACGTATTTTTAGAATCGCTTTTGAATGCAAATTTGAGGAGTAGTATTTAAGCTTGAAGTTCTACTGTCTTAGTGAGAGAGTGAGTGAGTGAGTGAGTGAGTGAGTGAGAGATTATGGCGCAAAAACCAAAGATGATTATAGCGCGCCAAATACGAGATGGGATGATTACAATTCATGAAATTAAAATACAATAAATAAAAACAAGTAGACAAATGTACCAAATCCAGAGGATGAAGTCATATAAAAACAAATTAAAAGCACACATTAAAATTTAATACACAGTCTTCAAAACAAATTACATTAGGTAATAAAAGCCAGTTTTTTCTAAATAATAAAATAAATTACAATTGACCTCTCTTCGATTAAACGGTCGAGAGGTAAGTCACAGCTATTAAAATATTTCTCTCGAAGAGGACTATTAAAACATGTACACTCAATACACTCAATTAAAATATGACGAACAGATAAACAAACATTACAATTAAAACAAAATAGGCTCATTTGCAGCTTTAAAGAAGATAGTTATGTGTCACTCTAGTATGACCAATTCTGAGGCGAGTTCAAAAGAACTTCCTCCTTACGATTTCCAGCAAAATCCCAATGCTCAATTCTAGACTTTGACATTTCTCAACTTGTTGTGATACAGCTGAAAATCCCAAAGTTGCTGCCATTTTTTTTCGGACCTTTTCTCTTTGATGACACAGCAGATATCTCTAAAAGGGATAAGGTAGGCTGGACAGTTCAACAGCAGAATTTTGCTGCGATATCTGCAAGCTCATTTCCCTTTATTCC